TAAATGGAGACATAGATGTGGGGGAAAATATGGAGTTGAGAGGGACAAAAGTTTAGTCTGAGCATTAATGGTCTTAACCAACAAATGGCACTTATACGGTCCGGCGAGCGTCACAGGAGGTATTTTCGTGGGTGAGTCAAAATAAAACGATGTGCACCAACTATCATGATTGAAATGGTCTGTAACCACAAGATACTCTGATACAAATTACAAACGGTAACACTACTCCAAGAACGACTGAAGTCACTATTTGTGCTACTAACCTAATTAGAGGTGTGTCACTTCGTATGTGCAGCTGTCACCCGATAAATAATTACCTGCAGGGTCGTACCTGCGTAACTGCTACAATCACTTAGCGTGCAACGCGAACAGCAACAAACATGTTTTATGGCTGTTATTCACGTGCCCGTGTACTGTGTCGTGCAATGTGGACCTCAAGTTCCAGTTTAATGACGGGCCCGCACTGTGGCAAGACGCCGAAAGACCAAGCGGAATATCGACGAATCTCTACGTCCTGTCCAAAATATCTACATCACCTCATGCTGCTTCTTTGACCCACGCAAAGTTTGTTTTGTGCTTGTTTAGCCCCTGGAACCCAAATGTTTGGGATAACCCCCCACCACCCCTACCACTCTCGAATGACTTCGAGATTTCTTCCGTGAGTCTGGAGTCTGGAGTGGAGTGGAGGGGGGCAACTAGGGAGGTGCAGTAGTGCACGTAACGCAAATCAGATGATGCAGATGCATACAGATGTGTGAAGTCACATGTCTACAGAGGGCGACGGAGGCGTTTGGTCAATAAAATGTGAGCCAGAGGCAAATCCGATTGAGCTTTTTTCATGCCTCCTTCGCCTCTTGCTCTGGCGGGGAAGTCCGCAAGTGCAATAAATACAACGAGTTGGGATAAGTCACCGTCACCATTTTCATATGTTTAATAATAACATTTCCAGCAGCATAACATATTGACAATCCCTTCTCCCCCCCCCCCCTCCCCTCCTCTTCTCTTCTCCGTTAGTCTGGAGGTGAGTCTTCCAGTCCACGAAAGCCCTTTCTTCCGCCGTCGCCAAGCCCAAGGCGACATTCGGAGACGCACGCTTGAGCTTGAGCGCGCGAGGCGTACGCCAGCTCCACCGCCATGGAGGCGGCGGCCAGGACGAGGCCTGTGGCGAGGAGGAGGAAGCACGGCAGCACGTCGCTCAGCGGGGTGGTTGTCCACTGGGCCATGGCGGCGTGGCCGAAGCCGTGCGCGTGCCCGCGGACCTGGCCGTGCGGCTGCCGTTGCTTGTGCATGAGCCGGTGGGTCACCAGCCCAGCCTCGCCGAGCCGCACCCGCACCTGGAAGCACACGTCGCAGCGAGGAACAAGCTCATCGGCACTCAGCAGCAAGCACGTACCTACCTCCGACACGGGGTCTATGTAGGGCGACCAGCGCGGCGCGCTGAACAGGTGCAGCGGCGAGGGCCGCATGCAGAAGTCCTCGAACAGGTGCAGGTGCGTCTGCCCGCGCGCGTGGTTGTAGTTGGTGCAGCGGATGTCGAAGGTGAGCACGGCAGCGTCGCCGACGTCGGCCACGCGGTTCAGGGCGTCGTCCAGCAGCGAGTCGCACACACGCAGGCGCTTGGAGAGCTCCCCGTTCAGCAGCATATCCTCGTCGCTCGTGGCGACCGAGTGGGTGGCCGACAACCGGACCACGTCCACCACGCCCACCGAGCCCAACAGCGCTAGCCGCGCGCCCGCGCCGTGGACCAGGTCGTGCACAGAGCGCACGACCGGCTGAGCACGAGCAGGCCGTGAGCAAGAGTGCACGTGAGTCGTGAAGGACAGCCACAGCGTGAGCCCCAGGACTGCCAGGACATACCTCAGAGCGCATCGTGACGCTGGCGCTCTTGACGGAGCCCTCGAGGACGGCGACGAGCACCAGGGCGGCGAAGCCCCAGTGGGCGACGAGCGCGCGCATGGCGTCGGAGTGCACGCGGAGCGTGGAGCCCCTCGGGTGTAGGGGCGCGGGCTGCTGCAGCAGCGGGCCGCACACGAGCCCGCACGCGCCCCACACGCCGCCGAGGCTGTCCACCCCAACGCGCTGCACGACCGCCAGCGCCAGCCCGGCCGCCACGCACGCCACCGCCACGCTCAGCCACGCCGCGGGCGTGAGCAGCTCCTGGAGCGCCACGGCGCGCACCTCCACCACGGGCACGCACCACGTCAAGCACACCACCAGCTTGGAGTCGTCGTACCTTCAACCGCATCCATAAACACGTCAAGTCCTACAGGACCAGACACATGGCCATTAAGTCACGAGAAGCCCCCCCCCCCCTTCCGGAACGTCTTCAACGCTTCCCAGCCGAGGTTCGACCCTTCTCACCCCGCCGCTAACCTGACTGCGTCCGCGTCCACGCCGTGGACGCTCATGGTGAAGGCCAGGTCGGCGTGCCGCAGGTGCGTGGCGAGTCGCGAGTCGCACGCCGTCTCGTTATCAACCGGCGTGCGCAGCACGGCGCGGAAGTTGAGGTGCTGTTCGACGGCGCTGAGTACAGGTCGCAGCTGCCCGCCCAGCACCGTCTGTAGGACAAGGAGTGGTGTGTTACCGTTGAGCCCCACACACTAGCGAGATGGTCACCGAGGTTACCTCTCCTGTGATCGGGTCCTTGGTCAGCAGCATAAAGGGACTGTCCTCGCGCGCGAAGACGGTGAGGTTGCAGCCTCGCAGGTCGTGAAGTTTCCTCGGGAACAAGTCGCGTCCGAGGCGAAAGGCGCCGCCATGGTCACCACTCGCGTCCGGGACCCACTCGTCGACGAGCACCGCGGCGTCGCTGTCGCACTCGGTGGCGTAGGGGTACACGGAGAAGATGCGCACGGGGTCGCGGGGCCGCGCGCCCGGCAGGAGCAGCAGCGCGTCGGACAGCTGCGCGCGGCGCCACAGCGCGCTCAGGTAGGCGAGCCCGGCAGCGGGCGCCCCGAGCCAGACGTGCAGGCGCCGGCCGCGGACCCGCCACCAAAGGTCCGCGGGCTGATCGTCGTGCACCAGGACGTGGATCGCGCCCGGCCGCAGGCTGGACGGCCCTTGATTGCCTTGATCCGGTGTCAACCCCAGCGTCCATGACGTGCACCACGACGACGACGTGCTAGTGTTGGCTAGCGTCGCCCCCGGCAGGCACGCCGTCGCAGACTCGCACCACACGGAGGATAGGAGGGCCGGGTAGCGGCTGAGCACGGCCAGGACGCACCCCGCCCACCCCGGCACGGCAGTGTCGCTCTGCTGGGCGGCAGCCAGCAGGCCCCGGGCTGCACAGACGGGGCACCCCCTGTGTTACAAACAGAAGACCGGGCAGCGGGGAAAACGTATTGCTCACCGTAACGTTCACCTGCTTCGGCCAGCACTGGTGACACTAACAGGAGAGTCTGGAGCGCGAGCGACGCCGTGCTCGGGCGGCCGCCCGCAGTCGGCATGACTGGTCGTGCGTTGGCCACCGCTGCACCCCGGGCCGCCCTTTCCAGGAGGGGTGCTGTCGAGAAGGAGTGTCGGGCAAGTTTGACAGTTTGACAGCCTTGATCTTTGCTGACCTTGAAGCCACGCGCCCATCGCGCCCATGTGTCCTTACCAACACCGCATGCCGCCGCCGCCGCCACTGAGAACACGGGCGACAGCCACCACAACATACTACTTCCCGCCCGGAAAAGTCCGCGTCGAAAACACACAGGTAGTGGGCCAGGGTCAGCCTAGCGTGGGTAGGAGAGCGGGGGCTGTCGGCGAGCTTTCCTCGCGCAACCTTAAAGAGAAAGGTGTGCTTTGGTCGGTGTTTTTATTTATTTTTAAATAATGGCATTATTCCAGTAAAATCACGGAACACTTTTTTACGGCGCAGCTAGTACAGTCAACGTTTTCTGTAATGCTTACATCAGGAATCGATAGGCCAGTTCGTGTGGACGCGGAAACTTTCTGTTTTATTTATTTGAAAAGATCGACAAGTTGCTATCTGCATTTCAGGGGCACTCGTGATAAACCATGAACGACGATGAACAAGTCCATGCCTCTACTGTGCCGTCCGCGTCAAAGAAAGATGGCTACATCGGGTAGCGGTTTGGACGCCAGATCTCACTACATTTTTGCCTTCTTTAAGGTGCCCTCATCCAATGAACGTTCAGAGGCGTAACCACGAAAAAAAATTGGGGGGGGGGGCGTAGTACGGGTTGCCTACGTACCAGGCGGACTCGAAGACTGTGTTATATAGAAGAAGAATTAGGGTATTTTGAATTAAAAAAGAAGGGAATTAAGTGATAAACATAAAAAAACAATCTATTTGTCATAATAGTTCCAAAGAACATTCAACATCAAAGCAGTAAAATGAAAAAGTTAATTAAACTTTTCCGAAATACTTCTTTCTATTATCATTAGCGGAAGCAAATTCCCTAAGGATACTAGTCAAATCCAGAGACACAGTAGCGTCTCGTCTGCTACAGCTGTCTATCGACCGACAGTCGGCATCGGCCAGAAGTGATCAATTTGGTTCTGCTTAGTCGGTCTGAAACGGCCCCCCCAACTTTCAAGTTGGGGGG